CCCTTTCATTACACATCAGCAAAATAACAACCATCACAGCCTTCAAAACTGCAATCAAAACACATATTTTAGACTCTATTTTTCTGACTTATTCCTACCTCTGACCGAAAAACGATGCTATTGAGTGTCGTCCATGGCTTGTCATGTAAATAACTTTAAATATACATTGTTTGGTTGTATTTTTTTTAAAATGTATATTAATTAATTTTTTAATTTTTTTTATCACGTTTGTTAAATTTTATTTACAGCATCCTGATTCCAAACCTAGGCTGGGGTACCGCGCTTAGAGAAAATCACTTATAATAATAATAAAAAGGAGAATTGTATCGCGGATGAAGAAATCTGACCATTAGCTGTAAAATAAAGTCGACCGAGAGCTACAGTTTTATTTTAATTATATTATTGTTGAAAAAAAAAGTTGTTAAAGATATATTTCAAATATCTGATTTGGGTTAAAATGCATAACATACGATGATAAAATATTTAAGTACATTCATCTTTTCTTTTCAATAGAGACTGCGCTGGTCACTTTAAAGTTTCACGTCGCGGATGAAAGGGTTGGTGTTATCAAAGCGTGCCTAGAACAGCGAATTGTTGAGACCGACAAAAACACAATTGATGTGTTCTGCGCCAATGGTTTGATAGTAGATCAAGTCATGGTGTCGTGGATTACAAGCGTTCGAGTTTGTTCTGTTTACATCAACACAGGTAAATTCACATCAAATGTGTATATTAGTTTTCTCATTCTGGGTATGTTATGTTTACATCAACACCGGTACAGTGGGCATTTGATGTGAACATTCGTTGTATCATATACATGTATAAGTAAAATATTCTTTTAATGTTCATTATAAGTTGAATTTTCCTCATAATTTTCATTTTAGGGCGATTATCATTTTTTCTGATTTGAACAAAAAATTGTAATTTTGTGTCGCATCAAATTTTCTCTTTTTTTTTTTGTGTGCATTACTAAGTAGCAAGTAAATAAAAAATTTGTGTACCAAAAAAAAATAACTAAACTGATCAATGCAAATATATAACCTGTACATCATAGGTAGGAATTATGCTTTGAAGGCATCCGCGTCGTTTACAAACCTGACAGCGAGCACAACGATAATCAAGAAATTGATGGCGTCAGTAAACGATGGGATATCTCCTCAGAATGAATGCATCCCTTTAAGTGATGATTACATGAATAAACTGCAGATGACACTCCGCGTTAATCGCCCTGTGGCACTAGTGCATATTCATATTCGTAAGTGTTGGTCGAGTTTTATGTAGAAATATGGTGCAGACATTTTTTAAACATTTTACCATATTTGTTATAGAATCATGCAATGTGACTCATCTAAGCCAATGTTAAGAGTAATCGGTTCGCCATGCCATCGATAGTATTTCAGACTTAGCCATTCAATCTTAACATTTCTCTAAATGCGATTAACCAGTGACATGTATTTTTATGGTTAAATCCTATGGACAAAAGTACATTTTTGATAGAAATGATACAATTCACAGATTCAAACAAAATTGTTTGTATTTATAACAGCGAAAAAATTTTAATGAATAGACACCATCATATTTAAATGACACTGCATTTCAAAGTAAATTATTGGTCCATTAAAATGCTATATAAAACTTGGCACACCACATACAAACACCTCCAGATATAATTATTAGTCAACATAAAACATAATCAAAATGTAACAGAGATAATAATCAAACTGTATATGAGAATAAAACATACAGTATAACCGAGAATATAATACTAAAATTACCGATGATATAATATAATAAAATGGTAAAATATAACTGAGGCTATATCTTGATAAAATTTAGAATTTATTCGTAATATAATGGAAAATATTATTATAATGTAACTGAGAATATAATCATAAAGAATATACGAGCAAACAAATGAAAAATAGAACTAAAAATACTAATCTGATTTAACTGTAACTGAACAAAATCAGCGTTAAAAGTTAACACGATTGTTATTATAATGCATGTCTCTTTGTTTCTCTTTTGTTTTCAATCTCTGTGAAGTTTATTTTCTAAATCTTTTTATTTAAAGTGAAGGTAACAAATAAATTCAATATGTTTTAAGTGTTTATTTCTTGAACAGATCCAGACCAAAGTGAAGACTACAATGTCAAAGTAAGACTTTTTGAGGGTAATAATCCAAATGTTTCTCAGTTCGAATCTTCCGTACAAAACAAAAAGAGAATCGTCTACATGGCTATTCCGTCAAGACCCGTGATTTCGGTTCTAGAACTGCACATTGTAAAGGGATCTCTTGCCATTTGCGAATTGCAAATTTTCGGAGGTAATCAATATGTGCATAATGTTTAAAAAACAGATTCGCTTTTAAAATAATATATGTACATATTTGTAAAATTTCAAGGAAATTATAAAAATCTCAAATGCATGTTTTTTCTACTTATCTAAAATTGGTTTCAATTTTAAAGCTCTAAAATCATATCGTCAGATTGCCCAGCACAAAGTTATGGTGTCGACTGTGAGAAGTTTTGTCCGTTGTCATGCTTAAACAGATCATGTAACCAGGATGGAACATGTCTTCAATGTTATGGAGGAAGGAAGGGCCAGTTTTGTACTGAAGGTAACAAGAAATGATAATAGGCATCGTGCCATGAGTCCTTGTTTCACCTTAATCGTTCTGGTTTTAGCAAAGCTGTAAATATAGAACTCATGGTCAGTTTGTTTTTCTGTTATGTTTTTTATCACACACTAAAAATTATTTTATGTGTCTGTACACTTTGGATTATTATGTCCGAATTCCAAAATAAAATTTGATATACATGTATATAGATATATTTAGGTATATATATGTATAAATATATATGTATATAATATAAAAATATATATAGTAGTTTAAGTGTTAACTTCAATGTGAGAATGTATTTTATTCAATTATTGCAACAATAGATTATATTAAAACCTTTTTATGTACCGTTAACAATAATGCGTTAACAATAATGCGCAATCCTCAAAATGGGTTGTAAAAACATACTCTGTGCTACTACAAACCCCTTGTGCTGTTAAAGACCTCCTCTGTGCTAGTACACACCTCCTATGGGCTAATAAAAACCTTCTTCTGCTGTTACAAACCTCCTCAGTGCATGTACAAACCTCATCTATCCTGTATTAAACCTCTCACTATATATATAAATATATGCATAGAAAGATAAAAAAAAACAGACATATAGATAGATAGATAGATAGATAGATAGATAGATAGATAGATAGATAGATAGATAGATAGATAGATAGATAGATAGATCGATAGATAGATAGATAGATAGATAGATAGATAGATAGATAGATAGATAGATA